GTAACCGTTTAACATTTTTACCCCTGCGGGTACCCGTCCCGCCCCGTTTAAAACCACGACTTATTTATTGTTGAAATAAATTTGCTCGTTTTTTTTCCCCTCATCTTCAATTCTTCACCATTGCAAGTTCCCTTTAATGAAATTCTTTTGTTACTTTAATATTGTTATATAGGGTACTTAAAATATAGTGGGATATATATATATATATATATTGATGAAATAAAAGTACTTAAGTAATTTGCTATCTAAACGGGGTTGGGCGGTGCGGGGCGACCTCCCCTCGCCCCCGCACCAAACCCGGGCAGATTTTTATTACATCAAATCATTTCCGCCCAAATAAGCAAAACGGTCCCCCAAAACTGCCAAAAACGGGGCGGGGTGGGGCGGGTAACCGCGGGAGCGGGTCAAATTGCCATCCCTAGTTGAGAAGAGGTTTTTTGACAAAAAAAAATAGAAAATGAGGGTTTAGTGAAAATTGCAGATAGAAAAGGAAGGTTTAATTTAGTTCACCCTATGATAAATAATGAATGTGTTAATGACAGAGAATTTATCAGATCATTATATTCCCCAATAATCTTGTATATGCTTTTACAAGATTTGTTTGAGTAACTTCTCCGTAAATATGAGCAGTATTTTTTCTTTTATTGTGTTTTATTTGATGAGAGACTTACATATTCACCTTCCATAAACTAAATGTGTAAATTTGAAAAAAAATTCAATTTTACTTAAAGTTTTTGTTTATTTAAATTGAGTGGTTTGTTTATTCTTCTGAACATAATGGGTAGGCTTTAAAAATTCAAATTTAGTTATATTTGGAATATATGTGGTATAGTGCATTGACTTAATTAATTACCATTTTGAATAGCAACGAGCATATATATTCTTGCAACTATAGTAATTCGTTCAATAGTTAGGAAAAATAGTAAAGGAAATTAATTTGTGTAATTAATGGCTTGATTATAGAAATTAATGTTTATATTTATATTATGAATTAAAATATCAATGAGTTATATAAAGTATTAAACAGAAATAAAGATTTTTTTTTTTTTTTGTTGCGACGAAAAGGCAATGAATTTCATTGATAAATCAGGTAAGAGAACAAGAATATTAACCGTAGACGAATACAACTTTAAGTACACAAGGGAATCTCCAAAGTATAAAACTACTTAATTCATACTCTTTGATTATTAAAATGACCCCGCAAGAATATATTAATATATTATAAATAAATCTCAACAACAATCAGATCTCAACAACAATCAGGATTGAAGTGGTTCACAACGTATTAAATATTCCAAGACCATCTAATAATTTCTGCAAAGCACAAGTCTAACCAAAATTATAGCCTTCCAATGAATCATAAAAAATTGATATCAGCGTCTTTTAACTTTTGCAGTTTTTTTTTTTGGGCAACACCAACCCACAAGCAAACAAAAATTACACAAGATCAACTACAGCATCCAACTCCAAAAGCCTAAAGATAGACAAAGGTAAGAGCGAAGCACCTTGGCAAGAGCATTTGCCACTTTGTTTCCTTGCCTTCTAACATGCGAAATAGAACACCCCGAAAGAGATTACATATACCGTCTGGTCTTATTAACCAAAGACGCAAGGGAAGCATCCGCATGAGCAATACCCTCAATAGACTCCACCACGCTCTTACAATCCAATTCAAACCAGACCACCTGAAAATGAAATTGCTGGGCACAAAAAACCGCACGTCTAAAACACAACAATTCTGAATGAAACACAAGGGAAGACTCAGAAGGTTTAAAAATCACCGCTTGAAGAACCACACCGGAAGAGTCTCTGAACCCCGCACCACCACCGCCTCATTGAGCAAGATTCAAAAGCGATGCATCAACATTACATCTAACAACACCAGGCACTGGGTGAATCCAACGTGAGGGGGCTGCTAATCCGTGCGAAGGATGAAATATCAGTTGACATTTCTATTGCACAGAAACAAATTCCCAATAGCAAGTGGAAGCCCAATTTGCCACCAAAACCGGACTCCAATCAAGTTGATCAAAAATTAATTTATTTCTAGCCTTCCAGATTAACCATAAACAAAAAGACGCCATTCCGAGCGTAAAAGATTTATCCACCTTAGACAAAATTGATCCACCCTGAAAATCAATCCACCATTCAAGAAAAGACAAAATAGGACGGGCTAGAAAATCCCAACGGAGGGGGGACAATTTCCACACCTAAAGAGAAAAAGAACAACGGAAGAAAATATGAAGCACATCCTCCACTTCCAACCCGCATCGAGGATAAATCGGATTTACCAAACAACCACGACGAGCAAGAGCATCACCTGTAAGGAGAATCCTATAGCAACATTTCCAAATTAAGAAAATGTTTAATTTTAGAAGGCAATTGAAGGGACCACAAGTTACTCCACCGTGCGCTAGCTAGCAGCTGATTGTCAACCCGGTGTAAGGCATGAGGAGTGGAATTTGTAGAGAGCGTCACAACTAGTCTGTAGGCTGATTTCACACTAAACTTTCCTGAGGGGTCCACCTCCCATATGTGAGTTTCCGGACAAGGTCCTAGTCGTAATCCGCTCCGAAGCAGCGCATGTGAGGACCAAATACTATGCCACGCCCAAGATGGATTTGATCCCAACAGCACCTCAAGAAAAGAGCAGGATGGAAAATATTTAGCTTTAAATAATTGAAACACCACCCCAGTTTGAGAGACCTGGAAATGCCATGCATGCTTCGCTAGCAAGGCAAAATTAAACGCTTCAAGATCACGGAATCCTACACCACCCTCCGGCTTACTCTGACAAAGTAAATTCCAGGAAGCCCAGTCTGTACTCGTGCTAATAGTTTTAATACATTCTTTGTGGTTGCTATGGGTGTTGACACACAAGTGAGTTTTCTCATTCTTGTCGATTCGAGGTCCGGAGGGTTCAAATTCATGTAAGGACAAACGAATGGTGAGTTTCTTGTCAATCAAAATAAATAAAATAATATTTTAATAGGCTGTGGACATTTTTTCTCTCCAAATTATGTCAATTCAAACTTGTTCCTTTTTATGCCTGGTTTTGAAGTAGCAGGATTTTTAGATGACGTAGGATAACTATATATATTTGCTTCTATTTAATGTTATTATTTTTTTTATATATATCATGTTTAATGACCCTCTTTCACACCTATAACAAAAAAAATTATGTTCGAACTCTTATTAACATATCACATTATAAATATTATCAGTAGATTTTAGAAATAAAAAATGCATTGTCAATAATGTAAAGGTTTGTTTATGCCATCATAATTATTAGGGTAAATTGCACTCACACGCCCCAAGTTTGGGTTAAAGACAGGTTGTTACAATTTAAGTAGTTTTTTTTTTGGACAATGATACTTCCACAAATTTGGTAGATTGAACAATTACACCCCCAAATCAAGGTAAAAGTATTTATTACCCTTGACTTATTAATTGATTTATTTAAATTATAAATTTATCATGTTAACATTTTCAAAGCAATTTAATGGACATAATTAACCTATTCATCTCCAAGCCACAAAATCTGAAATCCAAACTCTATTGTCACCACCTCCCACAACCAACAACCCCAATTTTTTATATAGTTGGAGGTCCCAAATTTTGTTCGGTTTTGAACAGTTTTTTATATTGGAGGCATCATAGCGAAGAGTGTCCCTTCTCTTCAACAATATTTGCAAGAATTTCAAAAGATTTCTTAGTAAAACTGTGACACTGATTATTTTAACAGCCCATGGACAATCATATCAATAATCGCTCTTTGCGCTCTACACCTTGCTTTATTATTATTAATTAATTTTGTGTGTGTGTATACATATATACATCTAGTTCTGTTAAAATGTCCAATAATGTGTGGATTACTAAGCCTGTGTTCCTTCCTACCAATCTGCATGTATCTTTAGTCTGGATCAGCATAAAGTATAAAAATCCAGAATGCTGTTTTTAATTAACAGCATCAGGAGTTGTAATAAATTGTATCAATATCCATGATACTCTTTCTAAATAAAAAAGTTGTGAGGTGTTCGAGATTTTAGTTTTGCTCCAATAAATATTTAGACATGATAGACCAATTTGTTCAAAGAAAGAACCTAAATAAAATATTATCAAAGAAAATATCAATGAATGTTGCACTTTTGGAGGAGAATAATGATTTTGTCAGCCAACATTTATTTGAACTCCCTATAACGAAAAGGGGACAATTTATTAGGGCTGCAACTCGGACGGGTCGGGCGGGCTGGAGACTTAATTCGGGCTCAGCCCATGTACGAAAATTTGTGCAACTACAAGGACTCGAACAACATTCCTCCAAGAAAAATCCCAAACACATCACCAACTAAGCTATTATACCATTGTGAAATAACATAGTTTTAAAATAAATATACCCTTTTCGGGCTCGGGCTCGGGCTCGAGCTCGGGCTAGGCTTCGGGCTCAGAATATCTAGCCTAAGCCCAGACCGAATTTAATTCGGACTCAAAATATTTAGCCCAAGCCCAGACCTAGAACAGAAAAACACTGCCCAAGCCCTGAAAATTTCGGGTTGGGCTCGAGTAAATTCGGACTGGCCAGCCCGAGTTGCAGCCCTACTATTTATCAATCAAATTAAAGACAGCGGTGTCCAATCCACGTCAATTTAATCAGCTGCCATTAAATTTTTTCCTACTACTTGTAGCAAACCAGCTACTTACCACCACAAAAAAAATAAAAAAACAAAAAAAAACCACCAGCCAAGTCTTCAACATCAGACGGCTTGGATCTCCACTTGGTTTCATCCTAGACAATCCTGATCATGGATACATCATATAGATACGGAACAATGAGCAGTAACTATTGCCTATAAATACTCACTTCCGTGACAGTTCGACTGTCAAAATTAATGTTTTCTTGTCACAATACCAAAATTATATTTAGTTTGATTTTAGTTCTGCAAAATGCCAGCAAAGCATCAAAATATGAATCGTGCACCAAAGCAAAAAAGGCAACAATATATCTTTAAAGTAAAACATTAGAAAGAATTTTATCTCGTAAAAGTTGTTACAGTATAATATACAAAAAGATTTCAAGTACTACGCTACAAATTACATGTGAGCCTATGAACCTCAAAAGAATAAAAATTTCAAAATTTCTAATCTTTAATACACATAAAAGAATGGATTATATAAACGTTGATCACCTGGGATATCTTGTATCCTAGGGTTTCAAGTAAGTTTGGTCTGTGTTTTGTTCTCATTACTAATTTCTGTTTGTTTACACATACAATCTGGCATGGGATAAGTGTACAGTGAGCCACTGGACTTTTTCAGTTCATTACCCTTTACATCGTTATGATGAAGCATATCTTGTAACTGGCGCTTAAAGTTTTCCCATCTGCAAAACATATGCATGAATTGAGTATGCATCCTTGCATATTATGATGCCACAACTGATACGAAACAACATTATGAAATGGAGGCAAAAGAAGCCTTACGGGAACAGATTTGACACTATGTAGTCAATATAAATTGTTTTTTAACAGATTTACACGATACGGTTAGAAGATTCAATATAAAGACTTGAAAAGGAAGATGCTTGTGTGATTGAGTGAAAAACAAATATTTGAAGTATATTCAAAGAAAAAATCTCAACGAAAATCTATTTTGAACCACAGCAGTGAACTTTTAACGTTATAGTGGTATATGATTAAGCAAGTAGTTGGTTTAGACATATCATGTTAACATTTTTATAAGAATTGTGCTACCACTCTTCGGGTATAGACAGGTCTGTGAGGGCAGAAGTTGAAGTCCCTAAGAATCCTATTGTAAAAGTTGAGAGATAGATGTTAATTGTTTGATGATCCAAGAAGAAATTAGAGGAAACCTTATACATGTAACTAAATTGCCAAATTGTTATATACACACACGTTATAAGTGTGTGGGGTCCACACCCAGTGTGGGGTCCACACCCAAACATTTCCAACCTAACTGACATAAGGAGACCACGTATGTCAAAACATATTTGTGTGGTGGCCAAGGCAAACCTTTGCCTATATATATGAGCATTGGGGCAGCAAATGTGGTGAGCATCGACCTCTTTCGCTGAATATAGTAATAGAAAGCAAACTATCTCCCCTCTATCAGCTTGCTCTTTCTCTCTCTACTTAGTGAGTCTACCATACATATATATTTCTATATATAGAAACTAGTAGCTCTATCAAGTGTGTTTGAAAGAGGCTCTCACTCCCTTTATCTAACTCAGCTCTTCTATATATCTATATTGTGATATTAGTTGTGATAGATTGTTAGGTTTGCTTGCCTTGTTGCAATAATCAATTATTATTCAACACGTTGTCAGCGAGTGCTCTAACCAAGTAAAAAGAAGATCTTATATATCTTTCTTTCTCACATCAAAGGGTAAGAAAATTCAAATTTATTTATATATCCATTTAAATAATTCTAAAATATGTTATTGTCCTATATAGACAATGTCAAACCTTACAAAGCTGGATTTTGTTGTCCTTGGCATTTCGGGCAAGAATTATTTATCGTGGATTCTCGATGCTAAGATTCACCTGAATGCAATGAATCTTGGAGGTACAATTAGAGAAGGAAAAGTAATATGTCTGCAAGATAGGGCAAAGGCAATGATTTTCCTTTGCCGACGTATCAATGAGGAATTGAAAACTGAAAACCTCCCGATTAAAGGCCCACTTGATTTATAGAAAATTTTAAAAGACAGACATGATCACCAATAGACCGTAATCCTCCCAAAAGCTCAATCTAATTGGATCCAACTGCGGTTGCACGATTATAAAACAATAAGCGAATATAATACGCCCGTGTTCAAAATCAACTCTACTTTAAAGTTGCGTGTAGAGAATAATTCTGACGAGGGCATGTTAGAAAAAACATACTCCACTTTCCGCAGGTCAAATGTTCTTTTACAGCAGCAATATCGAGAGCGCAGATTTACAAAATATTCAGAACTAATATCATGCATGCTTGTGGCAGAGCAAAATAATGAACTTTTGTTGAAAAATCACCTATCGCATCCGATCGGATCGGCACCGATCCTTGAAGTGAATGCTGCCTCATTTCGCGGTCGTGGGCGAGGACGTGGTCGTGGGCATGGCCGTGGTAAAAATAGCTACCACCACCGCAGAGGTCATAATAATAATTTCACACCATATCTCCAGAGGTGGGACAAAAATGAGATGAAACAAGTAAAGGGGAAGGATTTGCCTCAGCCTCTCAAGGGACATGAAAATGCTTGTTATCAGTGTGGAACAAAAGAGCATTGGCAAAGTGTTTGTCGTGCGCATTGGCATTTAGCTACTCTTTACCGAGCCTCGTTAAATGAAAAGGGGAAGAAGACATAAATGAATTTGACTGGCACCACTAGTCTTGATGCCTCAGATTTCTTTGAGAATTATGATGACCAACTCGGTCACTTGATTGGTGATGGGGATGTCCACACCAATTAGTTTTACTTTCTTTTTATCATATGACTTCATATATGTTATTTCGAGCATATTTTTATTTTCTCTATGTAAAAGTTTCTTTTAAGGTTATAACATCTAAATATGATTTTTGCATATATGAATAGGCATGAACCTGACCAATGCATTGACTAGTGGTGAGGATATATGCGTTACAGACAGTGGAACGACACACACAATCCTTCGAGATCGAAAATACTTTCCCACTTAACATTGACTGAGGCTAGTGTTAGTACAATACCAGGTCCCACAGATCTTATTGAAGGCTCTGAAAGAGGCAACATTATGTTACCATATGAGACAGAAATGCACATTTAGGAACCTATTGAGCACATACGTCATAATGGGTATCACATTGAGACTACAAGTGAAGGTAATGTAGAATACATTTGCTTTACTTCTATTACCTCATGCAAGAAGCATGTATTGGAGAAACTTCCAATTTTCTCTCCGCGTTGTATTATACGCCCACAAGAACAATTGAATCATATTCTGTGATACACCAAAAACTGTTATTGACTTGTCACCCAAGGTCTACAATGATGCGTTGAATTATTGAAAACACACATGGACACTCACTAAATGATCAAAAGGTTCTTTTACCAAGTGATTATCCATGTACCACTTGCTCACAAAGAAAATTGATTCAAAGGTTATTGTTGAATCCCTAACCTCTTTACAAAGAATTCATGGGGACATATATGGACCAATTGACCCACTATGTGGATTATTTCGTTATTTCATGGTCTTAATTGATGAATCAATACGATAGTCACATGTTTTTTTGTTTTCGACTCGCAATGTTGCATTTGCTAGACTACTTGCCCAAATAATTAAATTACGGGTACAATTTCCTGACTACCCAATTGACCGCCTTAATAATGCCGCTAAATTGTCTTCACAAGCATTATTGCAATAAGTCAAGCAAACCAAACAATCTATCACAGCTAATATCACAATATAAATATATAGAGCTGAGGTAGAGAGAGGGAGTGAAAGCCTTTTTCAAAACCACTTGATAGTGTTACTAGTATGTGTGTGCGTGTGTGTGTATTTATAGCAGACCCACTAAGTAGAGAAAGAGCAAGCAAATAGAGGGAGAGAATTTATTTTCTATTACTATATTCGGTCAAAGAGTCGATGTTCACCACGTGTTACCCATTACAATGTTCATATATATAGGAATTTACCTTGGTCACCACACAAATTTGTTGATATATGTGGCCTTCTTAAGTCCAAGTGTAAGGTGAGAAATGTTTGGGGGTGTACTTATCAAAAATAAATGTTTGGGTGTGGACCCCACACACTTGTATCATGTGTATATAACACTCCCCATTGGGGTCCCCTATACTACACTAAGAATATGCCTTGTTAAAACCTTACTAGGAAAAAACTAGTGGAAAAATCCATAACGAAAGAAAAAGAGTACAATATCCTTGATTGTCTGGAAATGATATTGCGTAAGTTAAAACCGGCTTATTAAAACCTTGTCAGAAAATCCAGTGGGAAAAACCCTAAGGGAAGGAAAAATAGTACAATATATGTCAATACTTTTCCAATCAATTGCTCCCCCTTATAAGCATAGTTGTCATAGTAGATCGTCATGAAAGATCGTCGAGCTGTCACATCCCAATGTTATGTACCAACCTTTTGAATGTCGTAGTTGGCAGTGCTTTAGTGAATAAGTCTACCAAATTCCCACATGAACGTATCTGTTGAACATCAATATCACCATTCTTCTAGACTTTATATGCATAAAAAAACTTTGGTGAGATGTGTTTAATCTTGTCACCTTTGATATAACCCCATTTTGATCTGTGCAATGCATGCAACATTATCTTTCTATAATACGGTTGGGCTATCTTTTATTGAGGAGAGACCACATGTTTCTCAAATATGTTAAATCCTGGATCTTAACCAAATGCACTCCCTACTTGCCTCATTAATTGCCAGTATCTCAAGGTGATTTGAGGAGGTTGCAGTCATTGTATGTTTCATAGATTGCCATGATATAACATTGTTTCCATAAGTGAACACATACCTTGTTTGTGATCGAGAGAGATAGCCAACATCCGCATATCCAATTATATTGGATTTTGATTCCTTTGGATAGAATAATCCTATATCAATTGTTCCACGAAGATAACGTAATATGTGTTTGGTACTATTCCAATGTCTACGGGTTGGTGCAGACTGTATTGCTCTTTTCTATGATGGACAATCATGTTTCCATCGACATTCTGAGGTTCTGGAACCTCATTATTTATATTAAGAGCAACTTAATATGGGAATGCTATGAAGCACGGACACGGACACAGGACACAGGTACGATACGACACGGATACGGCGACACGGCAAATTTCAAAAAAATATGATACGGACAAGACATGGATACGGCAATAAAATAATAATATAATTTTTATTATATATAAAAAATATTTACTTTTACTTAATTTCTTATATATATTAATAAATACAACTCATTTAAATTAGGCCACTCATCTTTTTAAAAAAAAAACATAAAGCCAATAGTAAATATTTAAATATATATATATATATATATATAGAGAGAGAGAGAGAGAGCACTATTTATAAAATAAAATATATGTATATATATGTATATATATATATATATATATATATAAACAACACAATAACACAGCTTACCTACCGCCCTCTTTCTCTCCCCAATCACGTCTCTGCTCCTACCTCTAGCTATCTTCACAATTTGAGATCTCAGATCTGAGATCTATAAACACAAAGGCAATCAATTTTACGCCTTTGTCCTTCCCCTCTTTCTCTCCCCCAATCACTCTTCTCTACTCCTACCTCTAGCTATCTTCACAATTTGAGATCTCAGATCTCAGATCTATAAGCACAAAAGGCAATTAATTTTACGCCTTCGTCCTACCACCATTGTTTCCGATCATTCTCTTATGTCTCTCTATCTTCACAATTTTTACATCTATATAGATAAATCAAACCAATTTCGATTTCAATTTTATATATATATATATATTTGATACCATGTTCTGGCTCCCTTCTCAACTTCTTCCTCTCTGGCTCTCTTCATCCTCTTCCTTACTTCAGGCAAAAGAAGCACGGTGAAATAGCTCAGTCCCGAGATGAGAAGGTCGTGTCCGTTCAGATCAATGCGTGTCCGATCGGTGTCCGGCCATGTCCGATCGGTGTCCAGCTGCATCAAATATATTAAAAAATGCAGGACGCCGTATTGGACACGTGTCGAAGCCTGGGATACGCGTGTCCGTGTCAGACACGTGTCCGACACCGGTACTTCTACCCTTAGAGCCGTGTCGGTGCTTCATAGTGGGAATGTGTTGTCCATGACAACTTCAAAAAAAAAATTTCCATCTCTTTTCATAATTCATTGACATCTCATTATTTTCAGGTACATTTACCTCATCAAGGGCATGTGCCTTAGTAGGGCTACATTATCACTATTCACTGCTAACTGAGCCTCTGTAGAAGCGCCCATTTCATCAAGTGCCCCGATAGGGGCTTCATTATCTTGTTAGCTAACTGGGCCACTGTAGGAGCAACCATTTCATAATGTGCCTCAGTAGGGGCTACATTGTCATTTTTAGGTAATTGGGCCTCTGTAGGAGCGCCTGGGGCCTCGTTAGGTCTCATTGCCACATCAAGGGCATGTGCCTCAGTATGGGCTACATTATCATCTTAATGTAATATAGTGGACCACAAGGGAGAGTGTTATATACACATGGTAAATTTGTGCGGTCCACACCCAACCATTCCACAAGACATGAGGAGGCCACGTATGTCATCTTATTTGTGTGGTGACCAAAGGCATACCTTTGCCTATCTATATGAGTATTGTAATGGGCAGCACATGTGAGCATTGACTCTTTGGCTGAATTTAGTAATAGAAAGCAAACACTATCTCCCTCTATCAGCTTGCTCTTGCAAACACTCTCTACTTAGTGGGTCTGCCATACATATATATATATACACACACACTAGTAGCTGTATCGAGTAGGTTTGAAAAATGCTCTCACTCCCTCTCTCTACCTTATTAGTTGTGATAGATTGTTGGGTTTGCTTGCTTTGTTGCAATAATCAATTATTATACAACACAAATTTTGTGTTTGGGGCTGTTAGTCAATCTATGCATAGCCCAGTGTAACATCATTTTAAAGTTGTTATGTATATTAAGGTACCTCGAGGGTTACCCAGGAAAAAATAAAAAATAAAAAAAGCTACCTCGAGGGACCTCAAGAAAAGGTCTATAGACATCATCTAGTTCTCTTGGTGTTGTGGATAATTTTAATAAAGATTACATCAGAGATCACTAGGAGTTCAGTTTTTGGATATTACACATTTGTTGATGGAAACTTGGTTATGTTGAAGAGTAAGATTCAGAATATGGTGGTAACAAAAGTTGAATAAAGTGTGTGGATATTGGAGATGGGATTGTTGCAACTCACCCATGACACTACTTTTAAACAATCAAGTTTCTATGAATAATGCTTCTAAACCAATATTCTACGGGAGAACCAAACATATTGCAGTTCACTGCCACTTGTGCAAACTATCTCGGTGGCAAACAAGAATGTTCCAACTTATTTAGATCCAAAAATTGGTTAGGTTATATGTTTACTAAAGCTTTAGGGAAACACACTTCTTTTAGAGCTATTTGTCAAGTCCAGGCATGAAAGATATCTGCACCCCAGTTGAAAGGGCAGTATTATAGTAGAGATTTTTAGCACTTTCAGTTTTTTTGTTATATAATAGAGGATCCAACCTCCCAAGGGATAAGCCACCTGATTCTCTCTCTGCTACACATGCAACACAAAACAATTGGATTGTAGAATGACAATAAACATTTATCGTTACGTCCTAGAAGTCCGTAGTTCCATATAGATTGAAAGATGCCACCATACAAGCAGAGGAAAAAAAAGGGGAGAGAGAGAGATTTACAGTGCACATCACCTGATCTTGGGGCTATCAAATAGTAGTGCCAATTTTCTCTTATCTGGTTTAATTGTCTTGGCATGTCCACCATAAAAGTAGCGCCTGTGACCCATTAAGAAGTGGGGAAAATTCCCACCTTGAGTTGTGACAAATACTTCACTGTGAAGGCAAACAGTATAATCAAGAGCAGCCAATCTAGACGAGTGCCCCTACAGCAGAAATTTAGGTATTACAAAGACTTGCTTCCAAGTAAGTGTAGAACGCATATACCAGACAAGCATTATACCATGAACAGAGCAAGTTCTTCTGGAGAAGCTAGCGTATCCTTGGTTTCTAAACGTGGAAAAATCTGTTTAAGTGGGGCAATATATTTCTCTGCTTTATATATTTTTCCAGCCGCAACATAGACTGAGGTGTTGTTATCAAAACCCATGCCCCTAAGCATCATTCCCACCTACAGAAGCAAATTACATTAGTTGAGAATTTCTAAATGGTGGAACCCATGAAATTAATGCAAGTTCACATGCATACAGCCATCTTCAGTTTTAATAAACCAAAACAAGAAACTCAAGAAGTAAAAGAGTTCCATAGTTGAACCAGGAAATAAAAAGGAAATAACAAAAAATGTAAATAGAAAAGAATGATTTATGTACAGGTGTAAAAGAATGGAATGAATATCCTTTTTCTTTTCTTTTCTTTTCTTTTTTTTGATAAATGAAAGCAATGAATATCCAATCGGAAAAATTATCAGCAAACGATCAAGTCTCTTAATTATTTTAAACTATCGTATCAAAAGTTTCTAGTATAAATTTTAGTATAGCAATAATTTAGAGATGATAAGTCTCGGTAAGAAGAATTACCCGTTCATGAAGTCAGTTCTCAATCTCCAAAGAATTTAGACAAGCATTCATGTTTCAAGGCGAATCCGGGATAAAACACAGAAGAAATTTCAAATTTCTGCAATTTTATTTCAGTAATTAAAATTCTGCAATTTCCATTCAATTCTGCTTAAGGAATAAGTTCATGAATTGTAAATTTTATATTTCTAATATTTGGAAGACGATAAATTAATATATCTGTTGAAATATATAAATATTTCTATATAATTGTGGAGCAAAATCCTGCACAATCATGGTGATCCGGTCAATTTCCTTCCAACTATAAATATTTTTATATAACGGTGGAGCAAAATCATCCACCAATCACGGTGCCTCCTTTGACTATAGTACACCTTCCATATTTTCTTATATTTACCGTGTCTAGATATAAGCTCTTTGTATTCAAGCAAAACATATCTAATATCAAAAAGGGAATGATGGTGCGAGGGAAAAAGGTGATTGTTTCAAATGCATACAAGTAATAAAAATGTTGATGACCAATAGTATTATTTTGGCAGTTTTCTGTAATAAAATTTCAAGAAAATAATCCTTTTATTACGATTAAAAGAAATAGTTAAATATTTTCAGAAAATATTAAATCAATACATATGCACACAAAATTAAAAGACATTGCTACATAATATTTGTGAGCAATATTTAGTAATGATTGATGAATTCACAATTCTTTGACATAAATACATTCTATATTCTTTTGAATAAAAAAATTACCTTCTACCTATAAAGCACCACTACTTTTATAAGAAGAAGTAACTCAATTGTATCCTTATTGGATACCAATACTCCTCGGATAATTGCAGATATGTGTTCAGGACTTTCAGAACAGATCCATACTTTAAAGTGATTTTTTTTTTTTTTTTTAAATTTCGAACACATATCTAACACTTGTCATATAATCCGAACCACGTGTCTGAAATGTCCTAAACATTAAAATACACCATTTCTAGTATAATATTCATAGACTAATTTTTAGAAAACGCGTAAGAAGAATTTTGAAAGCCTAAAATATCATGCCCAATTACTTATGTTGCGTTAGGGAGCACCAAATCGGCGGCTTGGATTTGGAATTGGAGAAAATTTAGTTGAAACTTTGAACTAAATTTTCTCCAATTCCAAAACCAAGGCGTCGATTCGGTGCTCACAAACATAGCATTAGTCCAAATCTATTTACATGCAACATCACTCCTACAATTAAAATGTGGCATTTGACATCATACTTATTTGTGAATTTTTTTTTTAAAAGAGAAAATGTTAGTCACGATACAATTATTATTTTAAATTTATACATACATATATATATATATATATATATATATATAATTATACAGATGTACTTATTTTATGCATAGGTACATATAAATTTTAATTTTTATAGCTATGTATGTATGCTTACATATATACATACATATATTGATATACAAATATTGATGTATCCTTGTATTAGTATTTGCTTTTTTCAAGAATTTTACACATAATCGTATACGAAATCTTCTGTATTTGTATCCGTGCTTCATAATTAACTTTTCACAAATGTCAAGTCTAAATTCTTCAATTGAATATTGAAGGCTTTTGTCTCATCACATGTACACATGTAACATGTACACATAATCACATACACAGTAAAAAGTTTGCTACATTAATTTGCAAGTATTACTTGAAAATGTGTGTTCTGTTCTCTATAGTCTATATGGTACATGTTTCCTTCATCGGCAAATGTGACTATTAGATTAAGATTTCAGATGAAAACGTATTATATATTAAATTTCCCTAAGGCAACCATATTCAAGGAACAAAATCTCGTCATCCGAACAAGATATTTGCGGACAGGTCGTGCATGAATGGAAGCTTGACATAGAATTATACATCTCACTAGGTGGGCCTTGTGGAGGGAGAGAAAAAGGAGATCCTTAGATGGGGTGGAGTCTCCTTGTAAATTCTCTGTACTTAGTTCTTTATTTTGGAGATTCTTTTTAGTCTTCTTGAGGATAGCTTGGCAATAGGTTTTTGTCTGTGTAGTTGTTCTGGGCCACGTCCACCTTTTGGGTGCTCTTTAATGAATACTTGATGAAAAGAAAAAGAATTATCCATCTCACTATGAGGTATCATTTCAGAAATTTATCTGGTGATTTATCAAGAAACCTCAATATCTCAACAATATAGCATATCTTAAGGAATTCACACTCCATATTTGCTCACAAGATTGTTGGCAGTATACGTATCGCAATATCATTGCAAAATACGGTAAATACCATACATTTTTGGAGTTCAATTAAAGCATGAAAGCACACACCACTGATACTAAGAATCTTTCATGTTCAACCAAAGACTGGCGTTCCTACTTATATAAATCACAAAATTTATTTACATCCTACACAACAATATACAGAGACATACTATAATATTTTATATTGTATTTTATTAAATTGCATAAGTTAATATGAAATAGCATACAAAAATATATACACTACCATATATATACAAAAACACACTAACGTTACATAATATATATCTATAATAATGATACAGAGACAGAAGGAAAGGTGGCACTAGATAAAAAAAAATTCAAGAGGCACATACCTCCAATGGAGTTAATGGGCATTTGCCATCCATCCGAATTGCGCCTGGCCTTATTATTCGACCTCTTTTGCGGAATTTCCCTCTCCAACTTCTTTCCCGAGCAATATCCATTTCATGTTTTTCTTCCTCACCACCATCATATACACAGCATGAAAATGCAACCATGTCCTTTAATAAGAGAATAATGATGTAAGATTTACTTGCAAACAGAATTCAGGAATTCCAAATTCTTAAAAGTAAAGAAACAAAGAATATAACCTCTTCAAACCGAAGATGCACTGAGATATACTTTCCCCCACTCTTGGAGCTATTCGTAACCATCCGGTCAACCATGTTCTCAGCAAGCACGCGTATCGGTTCTGAAAATCTAAGCGCCTCATAATTGGCCAAGCATCTAAGCCCTTGAATATTTGAAGGAACAGCTTGAGCCAATCTGTTAGAGAAAGGTGCAATGCGTACAGCTCTGCACCGTGAATTTTAACAAATGAAATTATTACACTGTGTTACAAGTCCAAGATTATAAGACAGAAGCAACACAAAGACTGACTATTCTAAAGCATTACAGGAGGTAACATATATAATGTAAGCTTATATAGCAGAACCTTTGGCACAACTCCAAAAGCAGCAAAAGATATGCGTACTGGTATTAGAATAAGACACAACCTTACCCGCAGTGATACCATTTTCTGTAAACTCTCACATGCAATGAGGTATGTCCACTATTATACATCATAAGAAAAGATGACAATGAAATACTGAAAGAAAAACTCTACGCAACTATCAATAGAAGGCTAAAGGTCATTTGTTAACCACACATAAATGTAACTGAAGTTCAAGATGGCAACTAACAAGTAATGCGACTTCCAATCCAGCTTAATGAAACCTCTTTAGTTGTTCTTCTAGATTTCAGCAATTCCCTATTCATATCTTCCTATATTTCCACACTTTAAGATGTCAAGTAGCGATGCAAACGAAACGAGACACACGGAGCTTGAGATTGTCCGGGATTCACCCAGACCATGATGAGCTTGCAAAACTCCGCTCAAGCTCGACTTGCTTCACTTGTTTATGGACTGAATAGGCATTGTTTATTTGCTGGTTTATGGGCTGAATGAGGATGTTTGTTTTCCGGTTCATGGGTTGAATTGAGCTGTTTGGTTGCTTGAATAAGGGACAAATAGGGGGCTGCTTGTTCTTGGCTTATGCACTGAATAGGGGCTATTTGGTTGCTGGCTCATAGGATAAATAGGGGGCTGGCAGTTTGGTTGGCTGGCTTATTTGCTGAATAGACTTTCAAGGGATGTGGAAATGACACATATCAAGAAGTTAGGGTTTAGTAGGCCATATAAATCAGAGTGAGAGCAAATGATGGACCCATGGGATATATAGACAGCTATTCACAAGCCGAACTACAGACTGCTCTCGTGTATACTAAACGAGTTTTTATTTATCTATTTATTTATTTTTTATTTTATTTTATTTTTATAAGTAGAAAACAAGCTTTTAAAAAATGAGCTTGAGGTCATTCTTCCTCTTAATGAGTGAATCTCAATCAGCTTGCAACCAAACTGATCCCCAGCTTCATACGTAATTGGCTAATTTACAGCCTTAATGTTAAGTGTTGGAAGCTAATAGTGGAGATACAAACCTTTGAATAGTAGAGTTAAGCCTCGCATCTTAATTTCAATATGAATGAGTTTGAACTTTATCCTATGAAAAAGTCATGCACATAGAGACTAGATTGTGGCTAGAAAGAGAAAAAAAAAAAAAAAAAAAAAAGAATGCTACGACAAAGCAGCAAACCCAAGAAACACAACAGAAAATAAAAATGCCACATACAAAGAACACAAAGATTTAGCGTGGTTCAGTAAAGCCTACGTCCACAATGAAGATCCAATGGAAGAATTCACTATGCGAAAATCTGGACATTACAAGTTTCAGCTCCCAAACCCTAGCTCTCGCTCGTTCTCTCTTTTTTGCAATTTTCAGTGTCTATCCATATCCCACTCCAAACCCTAAACGCCATAATATATCGGGCTACAATAGAATACTATATAGGCCCATACAAAGCTTAATCAATGTGTCATTGGGTTGGTTGCGACACGCCACCAAAGTTAGGCCACATCACCAAAAAAAAATTAATAATAAAATAAAATAAAAAATAAATAGACAAAAGGAGAAATAAAAATTGTTTATACTCCGTCTATCCGAAAAAAAAATGTCCCTTTTTGGGAATCTAACTTTTTAAGAGAATGACTTTTAGTGTTTTTTTATTGTATTGATAGTGAATGAATTACCAATTTTATCCATAGTGGGTCCCTAGTTATGTGATGGTTTACTTTTTATAAATTCAATGCAATAAGGTTAAAATGGTAATGCTATAAAAAATACTACATTGACTTTTTAAATGGTACACTTATTTTGGGACAGCTAAAAATGGAAAAGTGTACACTTTTTTTTGGGATGGAGGGAGTACCATTTAAATATATTCATACACGTCTTCTAAAGAATTGGGGCTAGGACTATAAATAAAGCAAGCGTTCGACAAACAGATCGAGCTCGACTCGCTAAGAGCTCGGTTCGTATTCGTTTGTTTAATAAATGAACCAAACTCAAACAAAATTCTTAGGCTCGTTTATTAAACAAGCCAATCTCAAGCCTACTTGAAGTCCAAGATATTTGTGGGGAGTGTAATAGCACGACATGAAATCTCAAAGTCTCCCAAAATGGCAATAGGACTGGGCTAGCACCAAAATTGTTTTTCATTTTCAACACTATTATAGCTCGATTCAACAATCTACTCAAAATAAACACTTAGGGTCAGGCCCAAGGGCCGGCTCATAATATAGAAAATGCGTACTTTATCCCAAAATGTTCGCCCAAACGGTGTATACCCCTCTACTCGGCTCGTTTGTTTGTCAACATGCCCACAAACAAGCTCGTTTAAATACTCGTTTTGAGCTTGTAATATTTTATATATATATATATATAATATTTTGTTTTGAGTCCATGTCATATTAGAACAACCCACATAAAAAAAAGGCCCGGACCCACTTATACCATTCAGATACTTATATATAAATCCAACCCCAACACTGTTAGTTTCATCACCTTACAAAAATAAAACCCAGCCCATTATCATTTTAAAGGATCAAGTCCATATGCCCTTAAGGTATACAGAGTAACCCTACTCTTTTTTCATTCTCATTCTCTTCGCGATGCAAAGAACCCTTGCTGTCACAAGCAGTAGCCATAGGTACCAGAGGCGGAGCTCTCCATGCCAATAAGGTTATCTCGATCGGCAAAATCATGATGCAGATCATGCAGTAACTCAACTGCCCAAAGGTCAAGAAGGATAGATCTACCATCTGAATCCAATCTTAGCTTCTCTCAAGATAACAACAGTGATATTTGCATTTTTCTTTTTTAATTTTAGGCATGAAAAAAGTTGAAGATGGTGTTTACCAATTAGATACTTGTGCTGTATATGTATATGCATGTATGTATATATACGCAAATCGCGAGGTAATAGTAAATGAGCTTACTGAACCGAGCTCGAGTTTGCCCAAATAATATCGAGCCGAGTTCAGTCTTGCCTAAGCTAGGCTCGATCAAGTTCGAGCCGAGTTCGAACACTTGTGTGTATATATATATATATATAAACACCTCCAACCTCGGCTTGGCTCATTTACAGCTCTAACTGGGGCATATAGTCATAATTTCAGTAAAAAGTGAGCATATGATTTTGCACGGAATAAGAAACCTTATCACCTAGGATTCCTATTATCCAACATACATGTATATGGAGGGACAGCTTATATATAGAGATTGAACCACAAAGTGATAGAATAGCTAGAGCAAAAGAAGAAGAAAAAATCAAAATCAGAAAAGAGAGAGAAAAGAGGAGGAAATAAGCTTAAGAACATCAAAGGTAGGATTTCACTCTACTAATTTTATACATAAATTATATTTTATTTGGTGTTTTAATGGCATATATGCAATATGTCAAGTAAGCAAATGAATATATTATAAATCTTGGGTCTGAAAGCATGCTCGTATTGAAATTTCAAATTTTACAAAATGTATATGAGTCGAAATTTGAACTTTTGATAAGCACGAACTTTATATCAATCATTATGATTCGAGAGAAGCTACTTTGGTATTCTTTACAAGAGTTCTCTTGGAGAATATTATTATAGAAACCCTTAATTTACTCCTTGACAGTATTGCTGTGAGAATATCATAGGAGTGATTTTAGCCTATGATAGAATATGGGATTGATTGGAGTAATATATGGGATTGATTTTAAGAATCCTCCATCAATGTATTTTCCATATTTATCACTTGTATCCTTTCACCGATAAATAGAGGTGATCATTGTATACAAAGATCAAGAGAAAATATAATAAAAGTGATGTAACCTTTTGGGCTTTGTGTGTCTATCCTTTTGTTCTTCATGTTTAATTTCTCTCTTCAACTTTTATATCTTTCAACAAGTTCCAATTTGGCCTGAAAGGATTTGAATTTCATGCATGGTTATGAATTTATGAAATTGGAATAGGTACACGTAGATGGATTTGAGTAAAATTAAAACTTCTGCATCTGTATGGGATAAGGTCTATGATGGTGGACGTTTAAACTATAGCATAATGATAAAGCTCAATGGCCGAGCACATGTTGTGCAAAATGCACAACCACCACGTAGAATTATTAGGAGGGACGCCTTAGGCAAGGTAAATGGGAGATCGAAGTCACCCATTTCTTAACATTATTAAATGGGAGATCTCCCATTACATTATTAAATTTATGGTTCTTTTTTTAATGGAGAGGTTTAGTGAACTCATTTTTCAATACTAGCTGTTTTGACTTACCAAAGTGTGAAACATATGTGGACTCAATAATATCTTGGTTGACTAGCACTGGACTGAACACAAACACTGAATATAGAATTTCACACTCTTTATGGAGAGCTAGATATCCCTTTGAGTCAATCTCATAAGGTAAATTACTAAAGGCCACGCCGGATTGGCTTTAGTAAAGTGTTTTCTAAAATGAGTTTATATTAGTATGTACAAAATTAATTATTTTGTTAAATTCTATTTACAAAATAAATTTAATTAGTGATCTTAATGTTTAAATTCGAGTTCTCAACGAATATAAAATAATATATAAGTATTTCATGGGAGAGCAAAACTAAATTTTCCAAGGTTTCGCTGGTGGAGGGGGAAAAATTAATATAATCAATGCAATTAAGAAAGCAAAACATATTCCTTTCCTTGATAAAGGAAAAGGTGCAAGAGAGACTCTCTTAAGAAATATTGAATGAGCAGCTAATTGAGGGTCATCATTTTTTCCTAAAATTATACATACTGCAATTTGGTCAGGAAACTGAATTTGGAAAATTATTTTGTCCACTTTCCTCTTTGTTGCCGTGGGCGTGGGGGAAGGTAAAACGGAGATGTTCTAATTAATAAAATAAACAACAACCCAAAAAGGAAAAAGGAAGAAGAAATCATGTAATTAGCAAGACATGCTCTATGCGATTCAAAATTACTAGGAAAGATGTACATATTATATTTTTTAATTACAAAATTAGTGAATCTCCTGTATAACCAAATTGAATTGCAAACTTTGCAGGAAAAATAAATAAATGTAACGCATTTGTAAATCTATTAACCATTGATGAAGGACCGCCACAAACATATAAAGCCAACATGAAAGAATCATATCTCAATCAGGACATTGAACAAATATTAGTGGAAGGGACAACCCTTTTAGGAATAAATCACAAATCTCATTCTTGAATACCATTTAGAATTGCATTTCTCCACATAGTACGATTAAATTTCAAACATCTAAATCTTCCATCCATTGATACAAGAATTACATTTATTTTTTAGCAAGGGAAATTTGAATAAAGTTTCAACAATTTTTATTTTTTTTGGTAAGTAAAAGTTTCAACAAAATATCATGATATGTTGCACAACCTTCGTGGGAACCAAGTTCAAAAATAATTAATTGAGATCATCTTTCAATTGAAGTAGTTGCATCACAAAATTTAGAAGCCAAACCCAAGTAATAAAAGGTGAAAATCACATACCCCATTTCAACAAGCTTCGGAAGGACCTTTTGAAGATAGTAGGTCGGACTTGACCAAGCTTTTACTCTCAAATTCACAATGTTGCTTATATTATTGTCAAATCGCTGGAGTATATCTTCTGGAAGTTCTTTGACTACATTCACATGATTTTTGAGAGCATGTATGAAGAACTCTTCATCAAATATGTCTCCAAACTTGCTGCAACATTTTGAAAAGAAAAGAAATTTTCAGGTAAAATTTTCCCGTACCTTGAAGCTTGGATAATATGTATAAAAACAATACGTTTACAAATTGAAGTGAGCGTTTGGAGTTAAATCCATTAGAAGAACAAAGAAAATAAGCTTAAAAATTCATGGCTAATATGCTCTCCATTGATATAAAGACCACTTGAAAAATAAGGAGACTACATCATTAAACATACAGTAAGACAAACAAAATACTGTTTCAAGTGTCTACTTGCTGTAGGGATCATTTTCTCAAAATTTTCGTGCTAAACTCAACTATTATTGATTATCATTTGTTGAGCTGGTTTGTATAGTGGTCAATTTAAGCAAAACTAGGATGATGCTGAAATTATAGTAGACAATCACAATTGTTCTGAAGTTGAACCTTTTAGCAAGCAAAAGATTATAGTAATATTTGGGTGGGACATGGCCACAAGTTTTGTGACCAGATGTTAACTCGATACATGAGTTATATGCATACTCTGTCTAAGCTGTAGACTTGGGTAACAGAATACAGCTTTGGAATGCATTAATAAGAACGGGTAGGGTAAAGCTACTCACTGTCACCATCCCATATTTCACCTGCTCTTTGCTTCTCCTCCAATTTCTCCTCCTTTTCCCTATCCCAACTCAGAAACAAAAAAACTAACCCCTTCTTCAGTCTTAAGTTTTTCCTTCAAAAAATCCAAAATGAACTAAGACGATCCAAAAAAGGACATTTTTTAAATAATGATAATAATCATTTTTTGAGATTTCCAATAATGAAAACTAGATAAAATATAAATAAATAAATAACGTTTTTAAAAACGATACCAAACTGGCCTGTCTTTTCTGTTTCCGAAAACAAGATACTACTTTCCATAATTTCCAAAAAAAAAAAAGTAGCCCTTCTTTTAAATTTGCAGTTTCTAAGAGGGAGGATGAAGGAGACCTATGAATGTATTGTCTGGTTTTATTTTTTTTTTTTATAAGTAAAAACGTATTTAAAAAGTTCAAAAGGGGAACCCATCCCAAGGAACTACACGAGGCTAAAAAGCCACTAAACCATCAAAGAGTCCAAAAAATCAACAATCTCCCCCATGGATTTACAATTTCTCCCCAAAACCCAACAAAAAAGAGAACAAAGAATAGAGAGCTTAAGCGCTCCAATAGGAGTCACCATGCAATAACAATGTTCCCATAAGGTAGAGAACCAAAAACAAATAATGAATACCATCAATATCTACTAGAGTGGCAACAATAAATACAGAAGTTATGTCAACAAGGAAGGGATCATCAAAACACCAAACCATCTCACTACAGTCTCTCTGTGCTTCTTATCCGATAGCAGAAGCAAGCCCATAGGATTTTTGCTTTCATGTCTCTCTAAAATTGTAGTCAAGGTAAAACTTCGTTTATTTAATCATAAGAGACCACAACACCATATAGATGTGCCAATGGAGAAAGTCTTAAAAAGCAGGACATGGACACAAGGACTGCAAATACACACACAAACAAACACTCTTGCATATATATATATATATATATATATATATATATATATATATATATATATGCAAGAGTGTAAAAAAGAGTTGTTTGTGTGTGTATTTGCAAGTCAAAACATTATATTGTTTGTGCGTATATATACACTCTCAGTTATAGGCATGATAACTCCAAAATTTGTAATGAATTTTATACATTTAATTTGATGCCCCAGTATTAAAAGGAATTTGTATAGAAGTCGCGTGTATGTGTTTGGTAGGTTTCTTTTTTTCTTTTTCTTTTTCTTTTTTTGATAAGTATTATGTGTTTGGTAAATACCGAGAAATCGAAGCTTTCTGAGTATGGCAGAGTTTTACTGAATGTATTGTGTGTAGGCCAACAAACATTGGCTACAGAACTCTGAAACAAAATAAATGAATAATCTGAAATTGTCAGTCTGGCTTTAGCTCCCATACCCAATTGACTTGCAGAGACTTTATCATTCTTGCAGATTGAAAATTGATCTTTATATTGAAGGTCGTACTTCTTTTTATGTTTCTACTAAATTAGTCTAAACACGCTTAACGTCCAGGGATTTATGTATTTGTATAATTCAAGTACAAGTTCAAAAGTTACATTGGGAAGTGAAAGTATTAATTGTGAGGAACACGTACTTGGACAGATACATGTGTAGTTAATTGTTTCCTAACCTATAAATACCCATGTGCTCTAATTATTTGTTTTAAAGAGGAATTAAAGGTTCCCAAAATGTCTATCTCCCTCTCCACATCTTTCCCTAGGCTTCATTTGGTTAGATAGAATCAACTGGAAAAGAAAGGAAATAGAAAATTTTAAAACTTTTTTATAGTTTGGTTAGATAGAAAAAGAAAAGTTCTAGAAAATTAGGATTCTTGTAACCCTTTATTTTCTCCAAAATGTTTCCTTCACAAAACACGGGGAAATTTTATTTTCCCGTGAAAGCATGTCTTTTTATTTAGCATTCCTATTTTACCCAACAACTTCATTGACATTATTTTACCCAACAACTTCATTTTATATTTGGAAACAACAATTTTTTCCTAGGTTTCAAAGAATTGAAGTCCACAAACAACTTTATCATTGATAAATTTTTAATTAACTTGATTTCCATTCCTAGTTATTTTTCATCATATATGAATAATAGTAATTCAAAAGGTCTAAATTAATTGAAAATTTTATCATTTTTTTAATATATTTTATTACTAATTTTTTTATTATTTTATTATTTTATAAAATAAGGGTAATTTAGGTATCCAAACTATAATATGATATTTTCCTACAATTTTCTTGAAGAAATTTTCATCCTAACCAAATACATACTAGAAAATCAATTTTCTTTTCATTCACTTCACTTTTCTTTTCATTTTCCATTTCTTTTCCTTTCTTGCTATTTCCATCTAACCAAACGGAGCCCTAGAGAATATTGTGTAAATCAAGCCCTCTATTTTAAACAAAGTGGTATCACATCCTGGATGATCCACAAGGCCACAACATACTAGAATCACACTGATCCTAGAATGTTCGGCCTGTCAGAAGAGGAAATATCCAATTATTGAAATTTGATTTTTTAAATTACAAAAGATTGAGGCTTGTCATTACATTCTACCTTAGAGCATGCAATTTGTGGGATGTTGTTGGAGAAAATTAAAAGAATGGGATGTCCAAAAGAGTTTGTGAAAAGAAAGAATGCATTTGTAATTTTACAACAGGCAAGACATGAAGAAATTCGGAAGGATGTTGGAGAGTCCAAATCTTCGAGTCATGTTTAAAAGATGCTTGAGGTTGTCACGTCTAATAGTAAAGGTGAGTCATTACCTACAGATTATCAACCACAAAGCTTTGAGGAAGATGACTTTACTAAGGAAGATTATAAAGTCTTGAAGATAACTTTGAGAATGAAAATGAGTACCATGCAAAATGAAAATGAAGAACTTGAAGACTCAAAATTGAAGGACAACTTGAAAAGCTGAATGAAAAGGAAGCGGAAAATAATGTGTTGAAGAGACTAAAAAGTTGAAGAGAATGAAATGAAAAAAGGACTTGTTGAGAAGGTTGAAAATTGAAGAAAAAGAAGTCGAAGAATTGTTAGAAGTGTTCTCTCTCCCGGAAAGTGAAAAGATGGTAATTAACTCGTTGATTCTGAAAGAAGAGAATGACAATTATAACATAGTTAACCAAATAAGTCATAAAGGAAGTTCCAGCGAAATTTAAGAGTGAAGATCATGATAGCAAAGACTTTATAAGTCAAACGAGAAGATCAATAATTTAAATTAATCAGAGTTTCACTAGTCCTCACACTTCCATGAACTCCTGAAAGATGATAAGTTGTAGTAGATTGAGATTGACATGTCCTCACGCTCACAAAAACTAGGCCAAACCAGGTCATCCTTCATTTAGATTTAACCTTATTTTTTTCCCTGGATGGGGCAATTTTATAAAAGAAACTAAAGAGATGAAGTACAAAAGAGCAAGCAGGGGCATACCCCTGCAATTTCATCAAGACTGGAGTGAAAAGAACCACTTACATTAAAGATAAGAAACAAAGAGAATACATAAATTGCAGAAAACAATCATAACAAACTCAATTCTCCAACTGAAATCCCTAACAAGGGTAGCAGATTCCAAGGCAGAATCAACCTCAAGAAGATCAGCACATCTGACAGGACCCCCATGAACTCTAGCATTCCTCTACTTCCAAATATTCCAAAGGATAGTAACAAAAGAGCTTTTGATAAACTTGGATCTAACTGAAGTTCCAGTAACTGAACCAAGAATCCATCCCACCATATCAGACATAGAAGTGAAAGTAGGAAGATTAATACCCACAACTAAGACCACCATGTCCAAACAGCCCTAGCAAACTGACATTGAACAAACAAGTGCTCTATAGTATCTCCAGCATTCCAACATTATGACACACGGGAGAGAGATACCTCTGTATTTCAGGACTAAGTAAGATGGAAGAGCCTTATGAAGAACAAGACATTCAACAATGGCCACTCTAGGCCTACAAACACTCCAAAGTAGCTTATAGACATGAGGTTTGCATGTGCATCAACCACTCTGAAGCATTTCAGGAACAAAACCTTCGATTCTTTAAGTTCAAGCACTAAATCTTGACAAGAAAGAAGAGAATGTTAGCCCTTTTCGCTTGGTTGCTTAATGGACTCACAAGGCCCTCTAGGAATCAATATTTTGGCATCCTTTCTGTTTTCTTTTTCCACCTCCTTTCTATTACTTCCAATGCCTACTATGTGTGTGTGCACGCACGTTTGAGCTGACCTTGAACAGCTATGATTATGTTGAAATCAAGCTTGAGCCAAGATCAAACATGACCTAAATTTGACGAACCGACCTAAGCACTCCAAACTCAAGTGACCATAACTTCTTTCTAGCCAAATGAGAATTACTAAGCCAAAACTCGGCTGATATATGACCATCAATCAGTTAAATTTCATCATTTCATGACTACCTTGTTAATTGAAAAAATAATTTTATTACTCATTAAAAAGAAAAGCAGACCAGTCATAGCAAGAATTTATTGTCTTGGTTAAGTCTACCTCGGAAAAGCAGCAATTAGAACTTGGATGGTCAATGAACATAGGGATAACAAGTAGAATCATACAAAGTTAAGACAGGTTTACAACCCATGATGCTTAGACTAAAATATAAAATGATGCAAAAATTATGTAAGGAAAACTGAAACTCATATAGAGATCACCTTGAATCTCTCCAAACGCTATTTAAATGAAATATTGGAATAACAAGAGTAGCATTCAGTAGTCCTGCCACAGCCACCGCATCACATATCTGTTTCAGGAACAAGAGATCTCTAAGTATCAGAAAAACACACAGAAGTCTTCTTACAACAGTAAGGAAGACTACGGTTACTCCAATCACCGTTGAAGCCTAGGTTTCTGAAGGGAAATCTGGGAAAAGCCTCAAGAGAAGTTGATACTCTGAAAATAACTAAAAACAAGATTGATAAGACTTGGTTACAGCAAATATAGAGGTCTGTCCTTTTTATAATACTACTATTAGTGACACTTGACATTTTCTAGAAAGAATTTTAGAATTCCCACACAGCATTAATAGCATTTTACTACTTTCCTACGTGAACACTTGGTAGTTCCAAAGCTGCTTAATTAATAAGTACCCAAAAACAAGAATGACTCTTTGACTTCTTCCCCCAAGTTACTTCCAAAGCACCATTAATGATTTGCATCAGTATTTTTCCACAATCTATCACATACTTTGGATCATATTTTACAGAATAAACTTGTCAAAAACAAATTCACCCTGCCAGGCCTAGTTATGGATGATCACAAAGAACGCAAAAATTTGCATGGTTCGGCATAAAACTTACGTCCACGGTGAAAATTTGGCCAAAGATTTCACTTACAAAAGTCAGGGGATTACAAGTTTCAGCCCCCAAGCCCTAGCTCTCTCTCTCTCTCTCTCTCTCCCCTTCAGTTTCTAGTGTTCTCCCACATCCCACTCCAAACCCTAAACGCCCTTATATACTGGCCTACAAGAGAGGCCTAAACAGGGTCCAAGACCCGCAAGAGAAAACGGGTCACAACGCAACCCGAGCCAAAACAAAATTCGGGCCACAACATCACAAGACCAACACCATCAATGACTTTACTTTTCTTAAGGAACTGATTCTGAAGGTTTGGAGAGGAAAAGGAAGGTTTGTAGAGGAAAGTGCACGAACTGAAATGCAGGAAGACCTTTAATGACTAATGAGTTGGGAATCCTGACAAGAGGAAGAGGAAGGTTTGTAGAGAAAGGTGCAGTAACTGTAATGCCTTGGGAATTTTGGCGAGGTTCTCAAAAGTATGATTCGATGAAGTCACACTTCTATCTGAATCAAGGTAATGGTAGCAATCGCAAATCGAAGTTTTTATGGAAGTTTATCACATTTAAATGGCTTTGGTCAGTGCTGATGGTAGTTACTGATAAATTTGCAGTAGTGGACAACTTGATCTCCACAAATAGAGTGTCAATGCAACTCTCATCTAAAAAGTAAGCCATATGCTGTTACACCACCAATTCTCTTCAAATATACAAATGAGAGTCTTTATTAGATTTATCATTCTATGAAAAATGCCAAATTCTTTCTTCACTCTTGTGGGTGACAAGACTCATAAGGATGGATCAAAATAAGCAACTACAACTTCTTGTTACTTTATGATTTCTATGGACAAAAGGTACAGAGAATTTTTAGGGTGTTGAAGATAATCGATACCAAAGAGTACAGTTCCCTCGTATTCTTTGGTTAGTCTTTGTTATAGTCCAAAATGAAATCAATCATTATTATGACCATTTCAAAGAAAAATTGAAGTTAAATGTGCCATTGAGTGTAATATTACACAAAGCTGATGATTCAGTATAGACATTGATATAATCATATAATAATTTTTTATCATCCTTCAGAAAGAACAAGGTTAAAGTATACAGCATTATAAACCAGAAAGGAAAAAGTCTGTCAATAGTGTGGACTGAGATTATATTAAACATCTATAAAAATTTAATAATTGGGATGGGATTTTCTATACATCTATAAACATTTAATAGACATTGGGATGGGATTTTCTAAACATTTAATAATACTCTTCACTTAAGAAAATCAAGTAAGCCTGGGCCTGCATTTAAATAGCTTTCGAGGAAGGGCCCTTCTAGTCATTTCTGCAGCTGTACCCCAACAAGAGGTCGCATTTGGGTTGTCATGGGATCCTAACATGTGGAGGGTGCAGTCCATGTTCAGCAGTGACCAGGTTCTTTCTCTTTTTATAAGAGATCCTAAGGTAAAACATGAACATAAATATCTAACTCGGAAATAAATGTAATGTCCAAATATGTAACAAAAAATTAGTAGCTAGTTTAAGTTGGAAAACCAAACTTTGAAGCCCTGTAGCAGGTAAGAGTAACTGACATTTTGGAAAAGATATGTAATTGACATATTACTAAGCTTTGGACAATATATTAGCATGCAACAAAAAATTGCACATAAACTAGTGAGAAGCACAATATTCCTGAAGATTGAATGCCAGAGGACTACAAAGAGGAAAAAACATACTGATAGCCGTTGCTGGTTCAACCCACCATTCGCTTCAATTATAAGGAAGCCATTTGACTTTGGCAGCTCTGAGAACCAACAAAGCACAAATAAATAAGTAAATAAATTGATAAAATAACTGCAATAAAAATCTAAAAATGACTTAGCAGGCAGCGGAGAATAATAATAAACCCGCACATAATTATCAATCTTATTAGATTAAAGGAGAGTAAAAAACAATAAAACCAGCCAGAGTAATACTTCTAGGGGAAAGGCTATTTCCACAACGCAAATGGCTGCATCCATAAGCCTCCCTCTCACATATGTGGGACTCAGGTACGTGATAGGAAGGGCCATGGATACAGATTCAGGCTATGGAAGTAACAACTTGCTACTTATCAATCTTTCTTTTACTGCAGCAAGTTAAACTAACCAAATTTAGAAGTTGATTTCCAAACAAATTGGAATTGAAAATCCCTAAACACAGCCAAGATATCGTAACATGATATTTACATAAAGAGGTGTTTTTAGACCTTAAATTTCCAACAATGAGACTTTTCTGATGAGACACCCTCGCTATAATACGCAACAAGACTTATCTAAGGAAAATGTGTTCTAATCAATGGCCTTATTTGTATGCAATATTCCATTCTCAAAATGCATCTCACGAATCATGTTTTCTAATTATAGTTAAACTTGAACCAAATAATTTGGTTTGCTATGTTTGCAGTAATGTGGTGAGAATTTCATCCTGTTACAAAAATTATACTATGTTGGTATATATAATATTGGAACTACATTTTTGTATACGCATTTGATTTGATTTTTTTTTTTTTTCTATATGAAAATGACAATTATTCTTATGGAAAAAAAATGACAATTATTTTTTGAAAGTGTAAGAATATATTTTAGAATAATTGAACCCCGTCATGGGTTTAGGCTAACCCGTCCCATCGCCATCCCAACTTGAAAGTGAATGCGGAAAAGAGTGTTAGAGGTCCCTGAGATTTCATCCATTGCTGACATTATTTGGTGCGGTGTTGGTTCCTTTCCCATTGCCTTTGGGGGCGCCTTTGTGAAGAGTGGGTGGTTCCTGCGGTGGAAAGGTTTGAGAGGAGGCTGGCAGGGTGGAAGAAGCAATATTTGTCGAAAGGTAGGAGAGTCACTTGATAAAGAGCACGTTGTTGAGTCTTCCTACCTATTTCCTGTCTCTTTCAGATTCCCTCTTCTGTGGCAAGATGGATTGAGCAGCTTCAGCAGAGCTTCCTTTGGGGTGGTATGGGGGAGGAGCTGAAGTACCATTTGGTTTGCTAGAAGCAGGTTTGTAGTCCTACCCAGTTGGAAGGCTTAGGTATCAGGAGACTAGAGTCTTTCAACAAGGCCCTTTTGGGGAAGTGGTTATGGAGGTTTGGTGTGGGGAGAGAGAAACTTTCAAGGAGGGTGATTGCTTGCAAATATGGAGAGGAGAGGGGTGGGCGGTGCTCTAGAGGTGAGGATCCAAGGTGGTGGTGGTGTTTGAAAATTTATCCAGAAGGGGTGGGATGAATTTTCTAAACACGTCAAATTCAGTGTCAGGAAGGTAGAGGAATCCGGTTCTGGGAGGACATCTAGTGTAGGGACTTTTCAGGATTGTTATGGATAGAGACGCCTTGGTGGCTAACTGTTATCAGTTCAATAACGGGAGGATAACCTGGGATGTTCGATTTTCAAGGCATTTTTAAAGTTGGAAGTTGGAGTACGTCTTTGGTTTCTCGGAGGAGTTGTACCGCCAAGAGGTAGAAGAAGTTGCTATTGATTCCCATGCATGGGATCCTTCTACGCAGGGGTGCGTTGTTGTGCTCACTCTCTACAGCTGCCTCACGGATGCTCCTGGGCCTTTGTTTCCACGGAAGGCAGTTTGCTGCTCCAAGGCTCCCCTCAAGGTGGCTTTTTTGGCATGGTCGGCTGCTCTGGGAAAGATTCTAACTCTCGACAACGGGAGAAGGAGAAGACATATAGTTGTTAATTGGTGTTGCATGTGCAAAAGAGATGAGGAGACGATTGATCATCTTCTTTTGCACTACCCTGTGGCCCGGGACAGTTGGGGCTTATTGTTGGGTTTGTTTGGGGTCCAGCGGATAAGGCTTGAAGAGGTTGTACAGCGAGTGCCCAAGGTCATGACTTTTGGAGGATAACGCCTCTGGGGGTTTGGTGGTGTCTATGGAAAGAAAGGAATAGGAGATCCTTTGATGGCGAGGAGACTCCTATTGGGGCGCTGAAGTTCTCTATTCTTTGTTCTCTTTTTTGATGGGTTTTTGGGAGAAATTGTAAATCCATAAGGGAAAAAGTTGAGTTTTTGGACTCCTTGAGAGTTTAGTGGCCTTTTTGACCTTGTGTAGCTTCTTTGGGATGTGTTCCCCTTTTAAACACTTTTTAATACAATTCTATTAATAAAAAATAAAATAAAATAAAAACCTTCATATTAGATCTCTAGCTACCTCTATCATAGGCTTTTCCTAAATCAATAAAACCCATATAAAGATTTTTTTTCCTTCTCTACAGTGACATTTTTTTCTCTAATATTGGAAATTTCTGTCATATATGGTTAAATCAATACTACACGACTGAATATTGTTGAAGCAAAAGATAAATATATTAAATGCATATTACGTCTTTAAAACTGTAGTTCTGGGAGATAACAGCCAGTATCTTAGGTACATAAGTTCAAATCCTCTATCTGCAATCAATTAAAACAAATCAACTTTTGTTTAATTCTAGGTAGAATATTCGAAACTCAAACCTGCTCCAGGAAGACTCTGGTTGACACAAGGCATCCAATTTTGATAAAATTTTGGATTCCACACATTCATTAACTGCACAATTCCCATTTAAGCATTCTGTTAGTAGATTCATATTGATGAATATGTTGACAAAAGATGTAAGCATGCACATTAAAATATAATTCTAGTGTGTGAAAAGATATAAATAAATTCAACTTATGAAAATGAAACATGACAAAAGAAAGCTACTTCAATTACTGATTAGACAGTCTTACTAAAAGAACTAAAGAAATAATACACCACAGATATATACATATATATTATTGGTTTGACGTATTAAATATGATTGTCCCCCAGAAGCAATCCTATTTACACAATTAGAATCATATTCATAAAGCTGCACATTGATTATACAAACTAGTACAGGGCTTTCTATGGAAATATAAACAAGCAAAGAGAAGCCGCTAATGGAAATCACCAATGGCTTTGGGGACAAAAAATGTAGAATCTGTTAGTGATTTCAATCAAGAAACCAGTCAACTGGAAATGGATGAGAAAAAATACCCGAAGCTAAGAAGTATACATGACAGCTAAGAAAGACCACTGATGCCTACAGGTTTCAGTACTTGGATTTTGAGGGGGAATGTCTTCACCTGGAGTAACAACCGAAAGGGAACAGTGTCAGACAAAGACCGGATAGAGTTCCAAATAAAATTGTTCAATGTTTCCAGCAGCAGGGATGAAGCATTCGGCATCCTCTGTTTCACATCATGTACCGATCCTACTGGATACACATGAGAAGAAGATTTAAATCCAAAATGAGAAATTTTTTGGTTCGAGTCTAAGGAAAGCAGAACGAAAATAATGAAGAGGTGATAGTTCAAAAATGGAGAGAAGCTATAAGCCAACAATCTACAAGAGAAGATCGATGCCTGCAGGGTCCACTTATGCAATGGAATCCTGTTTGCTTTTAGAATGTGTATAGACAGCTTAAGGAACAATATTGGCTTTGAAGAACATGTAACCTATGAGACAGGTGGGGAGATAAACAAGGAACTCAGTGGCATATTAATGAGGAGTTGGAGTCTTGGAGAGGAGAGATTTTATGGCATCAAGGATCAATGGCTGCTTGACTTTGCAAAGGTGACAGAAACACTGCTTTTTTCCCATGCTAAGGCAACCAGAGGCCGAAAAGTTAACAGAATGAGGGGATAAAGAATGAGGAGGGAAATGGCAGAATGAGAAAAGGAAACTAGAAGAAGGGGCAATAGATTTTTCCAGTAATATTTTTAGCACCATTGCTGATTTATAAATGGGGATTGGGGAGACCTCTTGAGGTCATTAATAGAAGAGTATCCAATAGTTTGAATGATCAGCTCTTACACGAGCACAAAAAGATGAGGAAGCTATCCGATCTCTGAAATAGATGCCACTAACTAAGTCGCCTGGTCCACATGGTGCGCCATCTGATGTATAAGAGGCGTTGGCACATCATAAGTTCAGGTGTTCTGCAATTAGTGCTTGCTTTTTCTAAATGGAGGCTTCTTTTAGATAATATTGATCATAGTTTCATTAGCTCAATACCAAAGGTTCATAACTCAATTTCGTCCATACAACTCAGTTTAGACCAATAAGCCTTTGCACTGTCTTATCTAAGATAGTTGCAAAAGTATTAACTTAAAGATCGAAGGCTATCCTTATTCCTTGCCATTTATCTCAGAAAATCAGATTGCCTTTGTTCCTTGAAGGTTGATAACTGACCATATCTTGGTGGGGGCTCATGAGCTAATGCATACCTTAAAACATAAGAGGAAAGAAAAGAAGGGATTTACAGCTATGAAACTCGACACAGGTAAAGCTTATGACGAAGTTGAGTGGTCATTCCTAAATGCAATAATAATGAGAATGGAATTTAAAGAAGAATGGATTATTTTTATTATAAGATGTGTCTCCACTGAAGCATAGTGTTCTTCTCAATTGCAAGCCGATGGTCAAATAGTTATTCAAGGGTTCTCAGACAATGAGTTTCATTATCATCATACTTGTTTTACAATGTGACGAAGCTTTTTGAAGTCTGATGAGTGTTGTGGAAACTAAAAGGGAGACCCACAGAATCTCACCAAGCAGAAATGGCCCAAAGGTTACATAATTTTTTGAAGATGAAAAGTCCACTTTTTTAGGGCTATAGTGGAGGCGGCATAGCATACAGATAATGTTGGATACTAAAAATCATATTATTCAAAGGCATAGGCGCAGCAAATAAATTTAAGAATACTACATTATCTTTGAGTAAACATGATCCACAATGACAGTATAAGTGTCAAGAAAATAACCTTCTTTAAGATGTGGCTGACACCGACATTAAAAGACCAAAGTTAGGAGAGCTAATATAAGGAAAGGTTGGGAACTTGAAGAAAAAGTGTCCAGTAGTGAGTAGCTTGAAGGAGAAAATATAGGAAAAGGTTCAAGGGGTAAGAGATAACCTCCTCTTAACAGCAGAACAGGAAAAATTCGAAGTGATATTGGCTATCCAGCTTACAAAGTGAGCTGTTTCAAGCTTCTAATCACATTATACAAAGAACTTTTCAACTTTCATGAGTAGATTTTGGTAGGATCAAGGTACAGAGAATAAGACATAATGACTGAAGTGAGAGGTAGTAAGAGATGGATGTTACCCAAGAAGCTCATTGTTATAAGCAGAGTTGGGTAACTGTTGTTAGACCTCAAGAGGAGTTTGGCAAGCAAAATTAGTTTTGAAATGAGGAACTAGATGAAGAGTAGAAGATGGAAACCAGGTGAGAGAATAGGAGGGCATATTAATCCCATCAACTCAATCTTTAAAAGTTGTTTCTCCAGTTTCAATTTTGCAACCTGGTGAGAAGGTTAGTGAACTCATTGACGAGATATCGTGATGTCAGAAAACCCAATATATAAAGGAGATTTTTCACCGCCAAGAAGCTGATATGTGGAGTTCCTCTTCATTTCTCTAGGACCAGATGACAAGGCGATTTGACACTTTAAGGCGAATAGCAAGTTCTCAGTACTGAGTGCTTATCATTTATTACTAAAGAAAATGGCTGGGAAGGGAGGTCCAACTAGTGGGGGAATGGAGAGCTGCAATGAAAGTTCCATCTTTTCGAATACATAGACGGTGATTGAAAATTTCCAATAGGATCAAAACTTTGGGTGGAGCTCATGTATCGAAAAAAAAAAAAAAAAAGCAAATTTGGTGAATTATGAGTGTCATGAGTGAAGAAAGTTGTGGATTTCGTCAAACTGTTGCAGGAAATGTGGCTCATACTTAGGGAGATTGTAACTGAGGGAGCAAGGGTGTGGTTTGTGAGCTAGTCGTGACTGGGAGTGCAAGTTAATTCAACAGAAAAGATAGGGGCTGGAGTAGGTCGCCAAAAGGCGTACACTATATTAACATTGACACAGCCTTTTCTAAAGTATCTAAATTACAGGTATACATGGTTGAGGTTTGTTATTAGAAATCACGCGAGTGGCCTGGTAAGGGTTTTCGCAAAAACATATGGGGCTTTGTTGGAAGTTGAGACAAGGGAAGCCCGGGCATTTTATAGGACTTGTTTTTCAAAAGGACCGTGTATCCAAGGAGATTTCTTATCAACTTTTAATACGGGACTGCTGAAGAATAAAATCTTAGCCCACATGAACACGTTATTGACAATGTTCAATACATGCTCACAAGGTTGAGATGACATAGATCAATCACATAAATAGAACAGGAAACATAGCATTTTATACACTGTTCAGTTCATGATGAGGGAGGTGATTTGGCAGAGACTGAAGAGCCAAATTCCTTCACAGATTACCTCTAACTTGTCTTCCTGTTACTAGTATGTTACTGTTTCTATATTAAAAATGGAAATGAATTATTACGTCTTGGCATGTAACAAAACAAATCATAATTGCTGGACTCTATGTGCTTGTCCTGTAGTTCCTACCTTCTAATCAACATATATACACACATATATTGTAGAAATTAACTCATTTTCAAATGTAACCAAGCAAGCTTAGCATTCCAATAATAATTTCCACATATATGATAAACAAATGGCAGTAGAGGATAAATACCGCATTAGAGCTTTCATTGTACTCCGCCTCCATGAACGGCCACAGCTTCTCAAAAACCTGAGGACTCCGATACACAGACCCAGGCGGTGCCTTTCCGCCGCCGACACCACCATCCTTGCTAACAACAACCTCTAAACCAAAAGTGCCGAAATACAACAACATTCCCATTATATACAACAGCGGCGCGAATAAAAGCACACCCCGCCGCCTATACATCCCCGATATAAGAACATACACCAACCGCTCCACGAAATTCTGCAGCTTCGGCTCCGAACCGACTCCCCGGAAACCTCCTCCGCCGCCTACAACACAACCGGTCGCGTGCTTGCTGCGGCCATGGCGGAACCGAGGCGAAGACGGTGGTGACGGGGTGGACGACCTCCCGCTGCCGAGACGGCTATAGCCGTGCATGGTGGCGGCTGGCTAGGGTTTATTACGGAAGTAAAACCCTAGAAAATGCTAGGGATCTGATTGATTGCTGCGCTGAGATCTGCAATCTCCACTGCCAGTTAGTGGCATTTCAGTGGTGGTTTTTGAGGAATTTGGTGTTTGTTAGTGAGAAAAAAAAAATGGAGATGAAGAAGTTGAGAGGTGAAACAAAAATGAGTGTTACTCTTATTGTTACTGCAATTGTATATATATACGGAAATAGATCAGATAGGTGTATGTATGGAGAGAGAGAGAGAGAGAGTGAAGTTGGAAGAGGAGGAGGAAGAAGATGGCGTGCGGGTACTAAGATGAGGAAAGTGAGTGAAAGTGTGTCGGTTTTAAGATAGTGTTACGCGTCAGTCACGGACACGGGACATGCCAGCTTTTAAAAGTGGGTGCCTATCAACTGAAGTTATTTCACATGGGTCCAGCATTTACTAGTAGTTGATGTTCCACGAGGCAGCGCAATTGGATAGTAAAGATGGGAAATATATACCATGCTTTGTTTGTAATTATGAACACAAATTTAAAAAATAAAGAATTATAAAAAATTATTTTCTAAAAATAAGTATTTTTATAATTAATTTTATAGAAAATTGAATCAAGTAAAATTTTTGTACAGATTTTTGTTTTTAATTTTTTAAGAATAAAAAATTACTTTCATAATTACAAATCAAGCAAATCTTAATTTATGTAGAGATGGAGCCAATATTTCAATTTAAATCTCTACTTTTCAAATTGTGTACAAAACCCTCTAAATTAAAAGAAAGATATCAAGTTACCTCCATATAATAAAATTGACCATATAATTTAATATAAATTTATTAATTATTATTTTAAAATTATAAAAATACCCTTAAGCAGGTCTTCTTCCTCTTCGCCCTCTCTTTTAGAAAACTTTCACCTTTCTCTCTAAACTTTGAGATCCCTTCCTCCTAGACTTTGATATTGCTTTTAAAGAAAGTAAAGTAACAATGTTAATTTATGGGGGCCAAAAGTGCATCCGATTTGCTTCTTTTAACTTTTTATCAGGGCTAAGCTGATTTAAGGTTAAGGATTGCTCCATTTGCAAGAGAGAAAATGTGCAAGCTAGGCATAAAGTTATTGGTTTTATTGGGTAAAAAATTCTTTTGTCTCACTGAATATATTGATGGTGATATATATATATATATATATATATATATATATATATATCACCATCAATATATTCAGTGAGACAAAAGAATATATATATATATGTGTGTGTAATACCCCGATATTTTAAAAGAATTATTAATTAAAATTAATTACTTTTATTTTATTTTAAATGATTTATTTGATTTAATTTGAATTAATTGTGTTTATTTTATTTTTTTTTATTTTGGTTTGTTTTATTGAGTGCTTAGAGTAATTGTTTTATTTATTTATATTTCGTGAATTATTGGTAGGATGATTGATTGTTTTTGTACTTAATTATTGATTGAATTGTTGGCGTATTGATATGATGTGACTTAGTTGTACATTCTTGTTTGTTTATATGCTTCATGTAATTAGTTATTTTAATTTAAGTGTTTATTTAATTATTTTATTTATTTAAATTAATTGAATTGGGCTTAAGGAAAGTTGGACCAAAGGATATGGTCTTGGGCTTGGATGAAGCCTAGTTGGGTTAATTAATAAAGGCCTATGGTTATATGATTATTTAAAATTATCATTTTTGTATAATTATAAATGTATATATTTAATTATATATAAATATAATTAATTAATAAGTGTTACGGAAGGATTTATAATTATGGATATATATATATATAGGATTTATGATTTAATTAACCGATGGTTAATTATGAGAGATATATATGTATATGTAATATTATATATATTATATATATTATATTATTTAAAAAGTATTATTTTATTTTGTAGTCATACTAGGAATAGGATTTAGGTTTTAATGTGTATAAATATACACATAAGGCTTAGGGTTAAAAAGTTTACACGTTAGAAAAATAAGAAAGACAGAGAGAGAAGAATAAGAGAGAGTTAACAAGGAGGAAGCCAGATTAAAGAAAGAAGACGCTGGAATTGAAAGAGACAATCCAAGATTGAAGCGTCAGTTTTGTTTCGAAACCTTCAGGTAAGTTCTTTTCTAACTCTCCTATTAGGATCCATAAATTTATCACATTGAGTATCAATGTTTAGATTAAATTTATTGTCTAAAATCATAGTTAGATCAGAATAACTAAAATGATAAATTATTATATTTTTATTTTTGGATTAGTAGATTTTAAATTGTATATATATGTGTTACTTATATTTTAAAAATCAAGTTATAGGTTGATCTTTGACTCATTAGGATTAATTAGGGTTTCTAAAGTTTCTAGAATTTTTCGGTAATTTTTAGAATTTTCTAGATATTTTTCTGAATTTATTTTATATTTTTTTGAATTTTGTTATAATTATAAATGTGCATAAATAAAATATTTATACTATTCTATGCATTAGAGGTTGCGGCGCATCAATAAGGTTTATGATCCAGTGTGGTCGTTTGCACGGTAGGTTAGTGCAACCCCTAATCTAAGCCATGGGATTAACTTAATATATAATGGATTGATTCGGTGTTATACGGCACATGATAAGATGATGCACATGGGGATATGGTGGTTTAGATTAATTAATACAAGGGTGAGGGATTAGGTACATCACGGCACATGGAAAGATGGTGCGCCTGTACACCTGTACCGTGGATGTAGAATGGTCAACAATAGATTGATCTAGTGTGGTTGCGTCTTGTAGCTACGGTGCGCCCAACCAATGAGGAGAGGCCAACACACGCAGAGGGAAAATCAAGCGCGTGTACAACGCGTGTAGGCGCGTGAGGACACCTGCCACTATGTACGAGTGCGTGGAAGCGCGTGCGGTGAAACCAGGCGCGTGGGGAGGCACGTGGGGGCGCGTGAGGCACTATTTAGGGTCTCTTTAAGGTCCTGTGAGGTCCGGTGAATTTCCAGAATTGGTTTTAAGCCTGTTAGGGTTGAAAACAACTCCTAGAAGAGGTGTTTTTGGTGTCCGAAAAACCATAGAGTGTTATTACAATGATTAGTATTATTTATTTTGCGTAAATATAATAACTTATTATATTGTTATGGAATGTGGGGTGTGTATATATATATATATATATATATATATATATATATATATATATATAATTATGTATATATGTGTGTACGTGGATTTTATTAAATTGTGATTAGTATGGAAGGAAGGATATATATGTGTGTGTGTGTGTATATATATATATATATATATATATATATGATTTAAATAATCAAAGATTATTAGGGAAAGTTTATACACACATATATTATATAATATATGTGTGTATATATGTCTGTTAATTATGGTTATTAGTATTATTATTTTTTTTTATCTGGTATATATGGATAGACTGGTTGTTAAATTATGAATGTACTTATAGTCTACATGAGATATCTATGCATAAATTAGTTATCATTGAGCATACAATTTGTACATGGATGAGTTGTCATAGGCGTAAATATATTGCCTAAGTATTTGTATGAATAAAATATATACATCGGAAGCATGGATGAGTTGCTAGTTTATTAGTATAAATAAATATACTTAAGGAGGCATGGTTGAGTTGTCAATATATAAATAAATATATTTTTAATGGCATGGTTGATTTGCCAATGTATAAATAAATATATATACATGGAAGAATGGATGAATTGCCAATATATAAACAAATATATTTATAATGGCATGGTTGATTTGCCAAAGTGTAATTATATTGTTGTGTGTTAGATGATTAAAATGTATCATCTATGGTTACTGTTTGTGTAAGTTAGATTAGGATTAGATATTCTTAAAGTAAAATAGTCTAGTACCTACAGGTTGGTGTATTTTTTTATACATATTAATAAAATAATACTGGTAGTGACATGGATGATTTGTCAAAGTCTAGATATTGACTGTGTGAGTTAAATACTTAAGATCATTATTAGTTTTGGAATTTAATATAATGTTCTTTTAATTATATTTTATGGTTTAAATTATTAAATTGCGATTTAGGATGGACTTAAGAGTAAAGGAGTTTCTTTAAAAGAAATTGTAGATTGGACTAGGTATGATTATTAGTTAATCATTGATAATGGTTTTGGAATTAATGAAATTAGTAATAATTGTGATAATTATATTGTATATAATTATGTACATTAAAGATAAAGACTTTATTAGGTTTGGTTTTGATCAGAGATGATCAATTTATTGGTTTTCAGAGGTCTGGTAGAGAGAATTTGCTCATAGGGTTTAACCTGCGATTTATTTTTCAGGTTATTAGAAGTTCAAGTCTCAAGATTGAGGATCCGCAGCTGAAGGACTTATCCATTCTTTCTTCTTATTTCAATGTAGGATATTTTCTAATTGTTAGATACTGGATTTTATTTAGAGATCAATGGATTATTGGTTTATGTTATCAGGGGTCCTTGATTTACGAGATTCCTGAATTGTAACTTTTGGAGAATTATTAATGAAATTTTTATTTAATAGATTTTTCTTCAGCGAATTATTTATTCCTTATTATTCATTTTTGTACTCTGTGTTTGTTTGAAATACTTTAATTGTTTTGATATCTCCTGATTTTGTGCGCGGACTTAATCAACCCGTGTTCCGAAATTAGTGGGATATTACAATATATATGTATGACATGTATGTATTGGGATTTATATGCCCTGGCATAGCAAATTTCCATTTGGATTATAGTGACATACGTTCCTCACGTTTCTGAAATATTTATGCTTTATACAATTAGTGAATTCAATGTATTATGTTTCGATTCATTATAGAATTGATAGTGTCCACTTGATTACAAAGAAATTTATATATATATGTGATGACGATCAATACATGAATATAAATAGTAATCATAAATTATTCATAGTCGGTAATTATGGATGGACTCATAATTAATTAAGACTTGAACTGGATCCGCGTTAGGTTGAGATATATTGCAAGAGCCGTCGTATGCAATTGCTCCCTATCACTGTCATGGCATTTGACTCTTAAGTATGAGAAAAGTATAAACTTTTTTATTAATTAATAATTACTTTGATTTGTTCGGCGGATACTTCGGGATCCTTAGACTGACACTTTGGGTAGTTATGTAATTAATAGTTAGAGGGTTATATTTTCAATATTTGCATAATTGTTACTTGTATTTATTTTGTATTGATTATGGTTGATCACAAAATAAATTCGAAGGCCTTCGTGTGTTTTTAGACAAAATGATTTATTAAATACTTATTTATTTAAATTATTATTTTTGTCAAACAAATGTTTTATTGTGATCGAGTCAGAA